TACGTCGTTATCATTATCGATTACATTTTCCTATGAATGCTATGGCTATGGTTTAATTACCCAAGTTTGAGATTAAAAGATTAACGACAAATGCGTATAGTCGTTACACATTCACTGAATGGGGGTTTTGTGAGTGAACTTTGATAAGTATAATATGACAGCTTTTCTGAAATTCACTACACTTCATGCACTTCTTTGTTAGGCTTTTCAACGACTTTTCAGAACAAAACATGTGGATAATTTTACCTCTGCTGATCTACCACAATCATAAATTGATCTGCCAATTTATTTTGCAATGATGACAAGCATTATTTAAAATGAAAAAGTCTATGCATGTCATCACGAGGTAAAAACTGCGAAACATCAAAATTATTTTCATGTTCGGCCGGTCTATCACGATCCATCGCTTGTTGTATTGCGTCGAGCAGCGGACGAAATCGCTCGCTGTCATTCTCGTTTGCCTTAACAAGACATTTGCACTTATCAACGCTCATACTGCTATGGATATGCAACTCGATAAACCGAAAGAAAAACCGCCAATATAGCTATCCCATCGGAGAAAGCCAAGCACTGCTTGTATGTACCGTATTTCTGCTTCCAGAATGTGAAATGCAACTGAAATACGATTACTTGTTGCAATGGAACATTCAGTTGCTGGTCATTTATGGAGTGAAACGATATGAATTGCTCATAAAACCCGCAAAGAATCAAATTCTTATCAAATGTTAAAGAGAGTATCATCCATCCACCTCCCCAGAAAAAGCATGTCTATTAAGCTGATGTCCACTGCCATCCTCTTCGGTATAACCCCAATGACCGTGGAACTCTTTGAGGCGATAAACGTCTTTTAGATGATCAGCGGATAGTGCTGAAATGAGCACTTTCATATTCATCAGCATGAAAAGAACATAAAATTTGTTCATATTGCTCTCTCCCTGAGATATAGCTAACTCTTTGTTTATTTGATGAGGTCAGAAGCCTTCCTGCATCTAATCTCCAACTGAGCAGTAGATGTATATGATGGGATGTAGCATTTTGTTTGGTACCACATTCGAACGTTTGAAATGGACCGTTAAATGATATTTTATGATACGGTATGATCTGAAATATACTCACTAGACGTAGCAGTAGGGCTTGCCTTGCACGTGAATCCTTGCGATAGAATCTGCAATGACAGTGACATACAACTCGAATTATTAGCGCATTCAACAAGTTATGATGAGACAATTCATTTTTCAAAGTGAATATGACAATACTTCTGATGAGTTCGAATAGGCATCTAATTGAATCTGGCCTTGAAAATACTCTAACGACTGACAGTTGGTGTGGCAGTCAACGACAAACACTAACTGACTGACTATGAGAGCTTACCGAGAGAGCGGTTTGCTTTTCATTTGGACATGTGCATTGAAAAATGAAATGTGAGGCTATTACTTGATTGAACAGCATGCATGGGTGCTGCATAGCTTCTGAATAGCGTTTATACTCTATGATGGAAACAATAAGGATTGATTTGCACTCGATGACGTGATTCCGTCGTGAATCTGCAACTCACTTTGACAGTTTTGAAATCGCCGATCGTGTAACTGAATTTGAGATTCTTTGATTTCAGACTGCTATCGTAATCAACGATCTCCTTGCATATGTCGATCGGTGCTTGTTTCTGACCAGTGCTGTTACTGCAATCGTCTGAAACTGCTCACCATTCAAAAACACCTCGAGTCTTAAAACAAAATTTCTCGGCATTCAAATGATAACTCTCACAATCGCTGACAATCTCAAATAACCGATTGAGAAATAGGGCTGTGAAAAAGTGGAACCGTACCTTCAGATGTCAGTGAAGAACTGCTAGATGATCGTGAAGTCGTGGTCATGATCGCCTGTACAATAAGCCCGTGTTAGCGTAATAGAAACAAGAACCCACAAAAATCCTTCACATTTCAATATTGAATTTTAAACTAATCATAGGCGTTCGCGTAACAAAAACACAGGTCAGATGCAAGCTTTTTACGGCTGAACAACAAGAGACAGAACATTTGAGCTAGAAGCTAATCTTATCTTACAACTGTGATTACCGACCCTCAATTACGGTTTTATATGCTGAATTATGCCATTAAGAACGTACACTGAATAAAACATCGTAATTATTTGCAGATAGTTACTCCAAATCTTCTGAAGAGCTGAAATCTACTAACTAACGAAAGTTTCTCCACCAGAATTAGTCCAGTCTACAGCAGATTATAAGTTTCAAATGCAGTGATAAACTTTATGTGTCATCGAAACAAAGCAAAAATTGCTACGAAACAGGCGAAGCATCATTTCCAACTGAAAGGAAGGATATCAAAAGCAAAGCAATATCCGATTGGAGAACATCTCAACACATGTTGTATTTGCAGTTGATTTGTACAATATATTCACAAGTCAAACATGCTCCATCTTCTAGTAACCTGAACAGAAAGCTCAGATACCATCCTACTAAAACTTCGGTTAGCAAGTTTGACAAGTTAAATGATGGAATTATAATATCAGATATGATTATTGGATTAGTTGATTCAAATTCGGTATTTTGATTACATTTGCAAGTCGAGTATCATGTAAAAGCGAGGACTCTTGCAAAATGAGATTAACTTAAAGTCATTATTCTGAGCTTCGACGTTACACTGTTCTCAGAATTGTTTTGTAAATGGTCTCTTAGTCGCTGAACATCGTATTAATGAAAATGTTGCAAACAGAATCGATGGCGATGAGGTGTATCTAATCACATTTTCAAGCGGACTGATTGCGAAAGGTCAATAAATCAACAAATTAAATGTGAAAAAAATCGTTTTATTAGTTTCTCAAATTCGACTACCAAACACCATATAAACGGGTTTAATGTACATAATAGTGATGATAACTGACCAAAGTTCGGTCGGTAAAATCTAACGAAGTCTGGTCGGATTCCGATCGAAAAACTTTTAATCCCGATCGCTGAAAAGCCGATTCAATTCCGACTGGACCGAAAGTTGGTTCGCTTACCATCCCTAATACATAAACAAGAACACTTCAGTGGGATACGATGGATAAGTATGCGGACAGGCGACTTATGTAGTTATAGTCATTGCTGGACTACAGAATCGTCGATTATAATCGTGAACAATTTCGACATTCTCAAGTGCGGTTCATATTTGATTGAAAGCATATCCTTATTTGGCATCGTCGAGATGAGATTCATTCTACTGCATCACGCAATATCCACTTACACACTGCCATCCCGGTGTACAATCCAGAAAATTGTTACATTTGATCACATCTTCTGAAACCTTGTTTCATCGTTCCAAAACACTTATATCTCCAATTCAAGTTCATCTTCCTAATCCTGTACGCCTCAATATCCACATATTGCAATCGAAACGCCTCATACCCGATCAGAACATCTATTGAACAGCTATTTTTTGATTTGATCTCATCAAGAATAATGTCAAAGATGATCATAATAATCGCTAATATCAAAGCTGTTAACGCTCTATGCGAGGTTATGATTTCATGGAAAACGAATTTGCTTGCCTCACCTTTCGGTTTCGGTTTCTGCTTAGCTTTCTGCTTTTTGAACTCTTCAAGTGTTTCGCATTTTCCTTTGATACAAACGTGAGGTATTGATTGGTCACAGTCCAGCGGTATCTTACACTTTGTTGGTTCACCATGCACTGAAATTAATCATTCTAACTAACACTTAGCTTTGGACATGATTATTCAGCTGTTGAAATATTAATCGAGTATGTGGATCGGATCATGACAGAGATGGTGAATATGAACGAGATTTGTTAATGAATGTGTCAGGCAAACACAAACCCTTTCTTGAAGACATGCAGGCGAACGCTACTGATGTGAATAAAATCAGAAGTAATACCGATCGCGTGCATTTCATCATCTTTTGGAAACAACGTATTCCCTTCAACAGATAAAGCGCATCTCCATTGATGAGTCAAGCTGACATTCTGACTCGTCAGAATTAATTTCTACTCGTAATACTGTAACCGACTGGTCACGAACAAGAAAGATAAGTAACTGAACTGGTAAATGAATAAGCTAATTAGCAGCGGTGTTATGAACTTCGAAATGAATAACAATCACTGAACTTTAACAAGACGCAGAACAACTTATTAAGATGTATACCCCCTGGACAAATAATCCAAGAGATTTGAAAAGTAAATAACTCGCAATCGATCAAAATTTGTCGAAATCATTCGGTTGTTTGGTTGCGGAACAAGTATAAGTAACGAATAGGAGATAAAACTGGTTTTACACCTATCCTCGTCACAGTTGATATGAACACATCAGAAACAAAATTACTACATTTGACCTCTCCAATTTTATGCTATATTACCGATCAGCTATGCAAATAAATCATTCTACCTAATAGTGCTAATGATTCGATATCGTTTCTGTATTAACCTCACAAAAATGCGCATCAAATTGATATGCCTTAATCTACTGCTTTAATCTCGAACATAGAATATTACACGATAAATATTACTCTAATTTGCTCTTGAACAAATTACTCTCAATTCCTTTTGAACAATAAATCGATGCGATATCGTCAAACAATAACACCAACTTAAATGAAATGAAATATGTGTGTATTGCATCATATGCCTATCGTTCCATTCTCAAATTGATGTGTTCTGTTGTACGTTTCAATCAATACGTCATTTCCATGTACTTTTCTTATTTCGTGCTTCTTATTTTGTTTCATTCCATTGTCTCAAACAGCAAACATTTTATTTAAGTGGTCCCCATCGCTATTAGTAAAACGCACCAAGAAGAATCATCTAAACGAACGGTACTCCTCAAATTTGTAGATGAATAAAAATGCATGAACAGCAAACAAGCAATAGCATTCGAAATACCACACAACGAAATGCAGTTAAAAAGTGATAAAACAATACGCAGTTTGCATAGCACAATGTACATACCACAGAACTGACTCAATATCACAACAGTTATCACAGCCCCAAATGATTGCATTTTATAATACGCAACTGATCATCGCAATACTTCTAAATCAGTGTCAAAAGTTGTAATTTCCTCAAAAATTCAGTCAGTCATAAAATCAAATCTCATCAGGGAATGCACCTTAGAAGTTGCATTTTCAAGGTCCATGAAAAACTGAAATCAAAGCGATTTTCAGTGCGGAATGTGAATGATATAATAAAAAAGAACAAACAATAGAGCAATAACAAAGAAATGATTGACTGCATCATCCTTTCAGTACCGTTGCACTTTCGCGATCATATTCCGCCTTCGTCTTGAACTTATCCACATAATATTCTATTGTTTTTAACAAACCAGCATCGAACTCGGTTGTGCATTTCCACTTCAGTTCCTTTTTGATCTTCGTAAAATCGATAAAGTATCGACGGTCATGATATGGCCTGTCGGGGATGTAACGGAATGTTGGTACCGTCTGCGGCCTGAAATCAAGTCCACATCGAAAACGTGTGGACCTCGTATCATCATGAACAAGACTTATCAAATACTCATTTCAAGCAAAACAACCTAAGCCAACAGCCAATCGATCATTCACACCTGTTCAGCAGTTTAGCAACAGTTTGATGAATCTGCACTGTCAGATCGTAATTACACTTCTCGAAATCGGTGCCAATATTATACGTCTCTCCAAGTCGGCCGCTCTCGGTGATTCGACGAACTGCTTCCGCGCAGTCGTCTACATACATCCAATTCCTAAATTAATAACGCATCCACTATAAATGTTATCTAAAGTACTAATATAACGCTTAAGAATATACCTGGTATGTTGACCATCACCCATCAGAGGGTATGGCTTCTTTTCGATCGCAAGTGCTGTGAATTTTGGAATAAGCTTTGAGCTGGCTTGTCTTGGACCATAAACGTTATTCATTCGTACCATTACATACGGAATCTTGTATGAATGCTGAAATAGGATTGGATAAAGCGTCGCTTCATGACAGTGTAATGCTAGTGGATTAGAATTACAGCACGCTTTGAGCCTAGACTTGATAGCATGCGAAAAGTGCAGAATTCATTGAAGATAAGTAAATCGTAGCCAACTAATGATTTTATTCTTTAAACGAATGCAATCCATCAATGTTTCTGAACAGAAATCCAACAACTTTTGCGACCCAAACAAAGAAACTGCGAAAAATTTCTTCATTACAGTCGAGCATTCCTAAACTTGTCGCACAACAAAGAATTTTCGCTTGATTCCCGGAAAACCGGAATCGTTGGATTTGAGTGGTGAACAATTGTAAATAACTGCAATCTTTCAAAGAACAATTTTTTTGCTGGAAAAGGAAAAGGGCTGATGTAAAACGAACCCAGTAGGCATTGATGATTAGTTCACAAGCAGCTTTACTAGCAGCATAAGGATTTGTGGGATTGGGTAACGACATTTCGCTTTTTGCTGTTCTATCATCCTTTGAATCACCGTATACCTCATCTTTAAATTGTTCATTTGATCAATTCGAGTTGGATTGATTCACAATTTGATCACTTGAAGAATTATTTTTTGGATCGTATCGCAATCAGTTTGCGTCCCCTTCCCTTCTTCGGATGGAGGTGTGAATCTGGTGGAATGCACCGACAAATGAACAGCTGCGTACCAGTGCTGATATGAACGAAACGTCGTAAGTTGTGATAATGAAAGGTGAGCGCCTCAAGCAATGTGGTTGTCGATAGAATATTCTCATCGATCGTATGCAGTCGATCCGTGTAAGACTCGTCGACGTGCGTTATCGCCGCGAAATTAATCACTGTATCAATCTGAATAAATCAAATAAGGTTATCTGTGCCGCGTCGGCCAATGATCATCGGATTTCGATGAAGAGCATTGACCTGATGTTCATTGAGCAAGTCTATGATAAGATCCATATTGCGTATCGTTCCATTCACAAATGTGTATCGTTCCGAATTTGCGACCGACGACACTATGTGATCCTCTGATGCACCATATTCCAGTTTGTCGATATTCACAATGCTGTATGTTTATATCAATGCACAACTAATACACATCGTAAGAAGGAAGCTAGTAAACTTATTCGAAATGAAAACGTTTGAATAGGATATGAGTGATTGCTGTTAAAGGTGCACATCCGAAGAGACAAACGACCAATTCTAATTGAATTCGATTTGATATCTTGACATTTACATTAAAAATCGACGTAATATCTTCCTAAATATTATCCGGATACGATAGCAACTGATCAAATTGAAACACTTCTGTCACTTCAATCAGGAAAGCGTCTGAGTAAGAGGGACCTCCATCAGATGACCTCATGTAAGTTGGTCTATTCAAGAAGTCCGTCAAACAGATCTGTTCGAAAGTTGTTACTAGTTGTTCGAGCCTCAGCTTGTAACATCAAAAACTAAAGGCTGACCGAGTTGAGTGCCATTTCTCGAAGATATAATTGATAAAGTTTGAGCCGATAAATCCACATCCACCGGTGATTAACACAGAATGAGGCTTCGTGCGCACTTGTGTATCTGATGCGGTCGCCATCTGAAAAGTTATATTTGAAGTGACCAAATATCATTAATATGACGATTACAAGTGATAAGAATGAACAATAATCTTATTGACGAGTGTTCACTTAAGGTTAGGACAAGATAATAGTGGTGGATGTGTGTAGTCGAGATATGACAATTCTGCTTAAGTACATTCGACTTGCTAACGAAAATCATCCATTCTGCGGGTTAAGATGTCAGGAACGGCTTTAAGTGGATCTGATCATGCAATATACCGCGCCATGTCAACACCACATTCTTGCGTTGCCGATCAATTGTGGGCAATTGCTTCATATATCCTCAAGATTTGATCTACTCATGAAAGCATGAAAGTGCTGATCATGAACGATCACGTGCAAGAAAAATCAAGATAACTAAGCGACCTCTGAAGATTTGAACTGAGCTGAAGGTAAGATTCTTGGTGAGAATGTTCACTTTTTGGAATGATCACCAACAACATTAGGTGTCATAACTGCTGCTTGAAACAAATTCAAAGATCATCAAAAGCACATTATCACAACTTCAATAAGCATCCAGGTCCAAGTGAAATGAAAGAGAATAAACGAAATATAAATAGGATCGATGCATTCTCCAATACAACAACGAACAATCTTGAATCAATCCATCCACTGCTTTCAGTAGATAACCCAAATAGTTTCAATGTGTATTATAATAAGTGAACGTCCGATGACCCAAATTAATAAATCATAGATTAAAGTTATCGATTCCGTTAGTCATATTGCGATTTGTTATCGTCGAGAGATCATCAAGAACAATTCACTTTCTCGGAACGTGCGTCGCATCATCAACCCAATATTGAATTCACACTGGTGCCCCATTCTCTGTGCACTAATTAATTCTGTCAGTTTTACCTCATCAATTATACCCATTTATTGTTTGCGTCATATTGTTGCCATGAAACGAGAATCGGATCAAAAGTTTCTCATGTGGATCGCACTTATAAATTTTGGAACGGTTATGAACATCTCAAGACCGATGAACGAAACAAGACAAAGAACATGGGGATTTTATGGGATATCATGAATCCGGGATACAAATCCGACAATTGACCCAATTTGGTAGAACATTTTCAGATTCTTGATTAATACGCGGTTCCCGACTTTGTGATAAACGCCGATCACCAAACAGAACGCATCAAATCGAGAATAAGACATGAAAGATGCACTTCAATACGAATCTTCATCATTTTCTTATTCCTCTCTATCATCAGGCATCACCATTTATTGCTGTCGATTCCTTTTGAGAATGCTCAAGCGATTTGAGACAACTGAAATTTTTGTTGTCTTCAAGGATGTGAACGGAAATTATTGTGACTGTCGGAATGATGAAAAGTTAAGTCGGCCAGATCCCGACCGATGCATTCCGACCGTTAGAAATTCAAAATGTCAGTTCGGTCGGATTCTAACCGAACTGTTTCGACAGTCGTAATGAGAAATGTGGAATCGGTCGGATTCTGATCGACGTGTTTCGACAGTCGAATATTCAAGATGTCAATTCGGTTGAATTTCGACCGATCTATTCCGACCGTCGGTAGGAATTTCCGCTGCCGAAATGATGAAATTGAATGTCGGTCGATTTCTACCGACATTCAATTTCATTCGGATGCCATCACTACACAACAAGACCTCCAATCATAACGCTGCGGCCCAATGAAAGAATACCATCCGTCTGGATGTTTCATGCTTTTTGGAATGTAAATTCAACAAGTCCGGTAAGCAAAATTTCATCAGAACTGGCGTTTGAAATCTCATCTCAATTTGAAATCGTTAAATCTCACATTGCATCACGTCCCAAATTGACTCGTCAATAGTTTATTCAAGCCAAAGAATGAACAGCAGTAACCAATAAAGCGATAACAACAACAGCAATCATTATCTGTTCAAAGAGTAACTTCACACCATTATCACTATCCACAACATTATCACCATCAAAACACAACACGTCTGCATTATTACCATCATCATTATAACCAATGTTACTATATAACGAAATAAATAGCAATAAGGATAGTGCCAACACCACAAATCAATCACCAATTCCATTACTTAAAATTCTTCAAAATTCCTTTTCAAAACTTTCAAAGGTAGTGAAAAGATAGATGGGTGCTAGTTTGTTGAAAATATAAATAATAATAATAATAATAATAATAATAATAATAATAATAAGTTGAAACTAAATGATAATCAGGAGAATAAAATTTACTTTCATAATAATAGCAACATTTTTTTTTCATATAACAAATGAAGAGTGTATTGAGAATGTTTTCAAGAACAGAGAAATCATTTCTGTGAGATACATCTCCTCAGCGATTTGAATGTCGATTAAATTGAAGCATTTCGCTCTCGCATCACCCCAAACCCACACTTACATCGATCACTGATGAGGTGCAGGCTGTTGCTCCGTGCCAGCCGCCTGGAGAATTCATTAATAGTTATAAACAAGTATCGTAATAATAACAACCCCCACCTCAGCATGAACTCCGGTGCGCGGAGTGCCTGCAATTCTATCTAGATACGGCTGTACATCATCATCGTCCATCACCTTGAACGGCGTGTCTTTACCAACTATTGCTATCGTTGTATTCTATAATAATGAAGAATTATAACCGAAATTTTGACAAAAAATTTTGACAGCACAATTCAACTCAACTACAATGCCACTCTTTCATCGTTCTGAATCTGATGCAAATAAAAACCTTTTTCGAGAGGTTGTCCTCAGCTGGAAGTGTGTCTCGAAGCGCCAGCAATGCCAATTCCACTAAATGATCGAGACTGGCTAAAATTAAACAGTACATAACTGAATAATCAGTTCGATTATGGGTAAAACTGCAATAACAACAAACAACAGATAGATAATCAAAAAGGATACCATCTGGAAATTCGTCCAGGTGCCTTTCCAAGAAAGTCCGTGCACTCTGTGAGCGAGCACCGATCGAACTTGCCAAAGTTTCAACCACTTCAGCCGAAGGGTCAGTTTTCACGATATGTGCTCCTCGTTCCTGAATAAAGCATCGGTAAATGGAACCAGAAGGCGAATGCTTTCCTGTGCAGAGAAGCAATGATTGATTAACGACGTGATACGCAACAGACAGATCAAAGAAGTGAGCGATTGAACACAAAATTCACATCGTAACCAGCAATCACCAATCCCACACCAAAAGGACGACGTCCATAATGTTGGGTATTGGCTTGTAACTTCAACTGGATTCGATTACTCAATACATGAATCGGTACAGGCTCCTTGTAGTCCCATCGCCAAGCGGCACATTCTGTTTGCAGAAATCGACTGAAATATTCCAGCTTCGTAGTCAAAAAAAAAATTACAAACTGTAAGTAGACACAGATCTACAACTCAAACAGTCAATAAATAAAAAATCATACGAAAAAACTTACGCAAGAATACGACCATCGGATAGAAGACCCGCAATAGAAGCACCGGCATGGATGTCTAATTCATAAACTTTCTTTTGATGGGAGCACAGCTCGTTAGCGGCACGCTGCAGTATAACAAGCATTCAGAAAGGTACTGATCGGAAATTTATAAAAAGACTGATTTTACGCTGATAGTGATCTGAATGAGATAGGAAAAGATGTTAGGTTATGAAAGTATGAGCTCGACCGAAAGATGAGAGGATAACCTTTAAAGCAACAAGAACAGCGTGTGTGTTGCTTTTAACACCCACCGTGGCACTGCCTTGTTTCATTGCTTCGACCGCATAATCGACTTGATGCAGTCGACCCTGACAGTAATTATCAATATAGTAATGATCCTTCAGCGAACAAAAAGGCTGATTGTGAGGAAAATTGAACTGAAACATTGTTTGCAAGGTGAAACGTACCTGTGGACTCCAAACGGTCACGTCACTATCGTACTGATTACGAAACATGGTTTCGACTAGAAACGTGAACAACAACTCCCTGAAACTTTGAAATGCAATGCTCTAAAATTAACTGATTTAGCGAGTATTGATATCAGAATATCGAACAGTGACTCTTCGAAGAATCTCACCCGTGAATTTATTATGCTAATGTGATCACTGGACATGAGAAAGCAATTCAGTTAGAGTAGTGATTCCGTTTTCAGCACTACTATTCATCGCGGGGAATAAAATGATTATACGGGAAGGAATGTGATCTAGAACTCGACGGTAACGTAGATCTTGATCAGGAATGAGAATTATCAACCCAGCAACGGATTGATATGAGTTTCACGAGAAAGCCATTTGCAGAAACGGGCCGCCATGGGTCATAAAGCGTCCACAAACAGTTTTTGATCGGGATTTCGCAAACTGAATGACAGTGAAGTGATGTTTGAAGGAGACAATGTGCCGTAATGCACATTTCATCGTCAAGTCTTGACCAGAAGTCAGACTTTCTCGAAGAACTGAGTCCGTTTCGGACCGTGAAGATCTTATGACTTGATTCTGAATTGATAAGCGTAGATATTAGGAAAATTTAACTCAAATTCAATATTTCAGCTCGAATTTTTTGCAGAATTGTGTCATTTCGACAAATAAACTGATGACATTGGTGAAAGTGTCTAAGACTTTTAGTTCCCTGACAAACAGCACCCTTGAAGCGTCGTTCTCGACTATTTTTTTTGAAGACGTGTTCACCATTGTGGTTTGAGGCTTCAACATTACCGAACTAAATATTAAAAAGCATGCATGATAACAAAAGAAACGATGATAAAATAAACGACAGATTTACACATGTAAAATAAAAAGTTACATCGACAGACTCACAGATTTACATAAATAAAATTACATAAAAAATTTAAAACTCACATAAATTATCAACCTTTTCAAATTGACAAATGCACAATTACAGCCAATTACAGTATGACAGGAATCGTGTTGATGTTACGAATTTTGACACCAAATTTTGTGCTGCAAACCTGTACAAAAATGTTGCAGCTCAATATTTTTTAAATTTATCTATTTCTCAAAACGATTTTTGCTTTACTGTAATTGCAATGTAATACATAACCCCACTCCTCCTGTGATGTTGCCAATCCTTTTTCTCAATTTTTCAGCCATTTTGAGACATACAACTTAACCGAAAAAAGCCGTCTTAACGAAAACATCAAGCAAATGTTGCCTATGATACTCGTTCCATTATAGCGTAATCCTTTAACTTGCTATACGAACGGAGAAGCGACACGATAAAGACTCAACAACAGATGCATTCTCGTCTCATTCAGAATCAGCATTCGAAGATACATGACAACTGATCTTGATAAAGCTTTTGCAGTATGATTTTAATACGTAAACTTGAATACGTAAACTCTCGTTGAATTTTTGCTGCAAAAAAGTCGTTGACTGCGATATTGTTGCTGGTCATAGAATTGAGCAGCAAGAAATATTTCAGGATGGGCATAACCGGGTCATCATTATCAGGTGATAGGAGTGGTAATAGTACTCAAAATAATGATGGTACTAATAATTCCTCATCCAAATTGCTCTTACCAAAAGTCGGTTTCGGAAAGTATGAAGTAGGTTGTGCGGATATCATGATTGCAGATGGTGATGAAGGTGATTTGGGCGTATTTGCGCGAATATTTTACCCATCCGATAGGAATGATGTCCGCTCAGCATCGAATGTTTGTTTCATTTAGTTTTATTTTTGATCATCACTTAATGTTTACTGTTGTCATTCTCCTTATCCATGAATCTAACTTTTATAATATGATCGGCATCATTTTTATTTAAAAAAAAGCACTGGAACCAGTATGATTTCCATCCTGCACAAAGTATGATTAAACACTTGGATTCAAAAATCATTTTAATTTTAATGAATATTTTGCATAGATATGTTCGTTTATTATTTATTCCTTTATCATTTATCTCGCTCAATTAATACATATTAATACATTAATACATAATAATTCGTTTTCTTCATGGAAGTAGGTGGATTCTTCTAATCCTATAAATACTAAAGAAATTGCTGAATCGAATTGAAATAGTTTTAAATTTGAAGTTAGCTGAGCGTTAGATGATCATTCAAGCAAATTGTGATCACAAGAACTGAAACCGCAGAACTGTTTCCATTTGTCGATTGAATTTTCATAAATGATCTTCAAATTCCTCTCAGTTCTCAGGGAATTGCAAAAAACTGGAGCTCAACGGTGCATATTAAGGGTTCAACGCAATCAGATCACAGCGATAGACCAGTTTGGTTACCGCGAAAGGAGTACATTGATGGTTGTGCACTCTACAAGAATACCAGTCCTCGGAAGCTGAATTTCGTTTTCGATTGGTTTATAGGAGAAAGAAGGTGCGCGTGACGCTACGTAATGAAGTTTGACGAGGATTCAGATATAATATCTGCATACAGAGAGGATACAAACTAAAACATAAAGCCAGAATGAAGAATTTGAATATAACTATAAAATAGGCCAAATTCCACAGGTATATATGACTCTGAATTTGTGTGAATCATCTGATACTCAGTGCAGTTGACGAAATGATTATTTGCGATTGTGATGGTGTCAGTCAAAAACGCACCCTTCATTCTTGATAAGGAATACAATTTCTGATTTAACTCAGGTTAGTTTCCGCTCCGCGAGCATGAACAGTTTTGAATTAGTGATCAAAATGTTGATGTTGAAGGATAAATGCAAAATGGCATCAAGCGTTATATTCTCGATTGGATCAGAATGGGACAAAGAAACAGAATATATCATTTCCTGTAGTCATCTTCTCCCATGGTCTTTCGGCATGCAGACATTTTTATTCGGTTTTTTGTACGTCGCTAGCTAGTTACGGCTTCGTTGTGGCTGCCATTGAACACAGGTCTGATTTCTATTCGAATATATTTATGGTAAAATTGGTTCGTCGATTCACATACAGTGCAATGATATATTATTCGAGCACAACCATCGCAAGTATTTCGAATTCACCAGATGATTGTATGAATATGGCTAGGGGAAGCTTTATTTTTAAATTATCAGTGACTGGTTTTGACGCCGATGATAAACTCTACGTTTTTGCTTGCATATTACAATTATGTCAGAAAGATCCACGCATCACAGCAAGAAACATTTTTGATAAACATTTATGACAGCTTACTTTGCGTGTTTGCGTTCAAATTCAAGGATAGAGGAAAGGTCATGTAAATTACGTTCTTCATGCTTTATGAGCCATAATCAGTGGGTGGTTGATTATGATGTGAATGCTTTCCAGAGATCGATCCGCCTGCTGGACATATAAGTTGGATGTTGATCCGATAAATGGCACAACCACAGAGAAGTCGATAAATTTAAGGAAACTGACATCGACTGATAATGAATTTCGTGTTCGAAATCAACAAGTTTGATTTTCATGATTTAATATCTAATTCAAGATTTTACTAACCAATTCATTTTCATGATTTACTATCCAATTGTTGCACTTATGGAGGCCATCATTGTTGAATTCTGCAATACTATTTCGTTGTGCAGAGAGTAAAGGCTGCTTTCAGTAACAGTAGAAGTGAACATGAATTAGGGATATTACAGTTGCATAAACGTGTAAGTGAGTGCGTGAAATTGTTGAATGTCCTAGAAGAAATAAACCTTGGGCAGTGCTCATCTACATCGACCGATAGGAAACAAATGGGATGTCGAATTGTATTGGGCAATTCATTCGACTGGTCGCAGTTCAAGGTTTTTTGAATTTATCCGATTCGAGTTGATTCTCAAATACATTTCGTTCCCGTTGTTTTCAATCTTGCAGAGTAATGATGATGAAATTGAAGGGTCGACTGAATATGAGTAAATCGTCGATTGTTGGTCATTCATTTGGGGGTGCCACTGCAATTGCTGCTTCTGCGTTCTCAACTGATTTCACGGTTTGTTAATTTATTTGTAATTGTCGTTGATCAAGATTGCTTGCAACGGATTGCAGACTGCGATAGTGTTGGATGGTTGGATGTTGCCAGTGGAACGCGAACTGTACGAACGAATTCAGCAACCGACCTTGTTTTTAAATGCTTCATTATTCCAGTGGCCATCGAACGTGAACAGTATGCATAAAGTTACCTTGAACAATAATGGCAGCACCATCGTCACACTCAAGTCGGTTATCTTTATGCATTGTGAATTTTCAAATTTGGATTGACTGTCTTGAATACAGCATCCTTTCATTTGAATGAATGCATTCTGTCAGTAAGATGAAGAGCTTCAATAAATAAAAGTGCATGCTAAAATTTAAAATAGCAATGAATATTATGAATGAGTAATGAGTAGAATGAATCTAAGATGGCGACGAGCGAAAACTTTCAGTGATACAACGCATCAATCATTCACAGATTTCTCGGTTTTATCACCGGGATTTATAAGCCGTAAAATCGGTTTCCACGGCCACATGGAACCGCATCGTTGCTATGAAGCGATCCTGGAGCTAACAGTACATTATATCAGAAAGCATTCATTAGAAGACGATGTCGACTTGAAATCAGTCATCAATAACTATAATGACTTCGTTTACGAAGGGACGAATTTTGACTTAAAGGAAAGTGCTTAGGATCCTCATGCTGTTGACCACTGGCCTGTTAACATTTGGCTGTGGTTGAAACTGTATGTTTTATTGTTAATATCATCATTATTATTATCCAAGTTGGGATCACTATTGTTGTCATAACTTTATTGATGTTCATTCGTTTCATTTTCAAATTGATTTGTCATTTTCTGCAAAAATTTATGCACTATTTTCATGTCGATTTGTATTATGTTATTTATCCATTCAGATGATATTTTACTTGATGATATGTATGCCTTATAAAACTGATATCTTTAAATAATTAATGTGAAGGTAGTATATGATTAATCTAACTATGCATGGACACGTTTCGTGCAGAGAACATTCGATATATTTCGCTGATTTTCTAATCGGAATTAGTCGTTATATGTGTTTGTAAATATGCAATTTTATACATACCAAATACATTTATGATTGTCTCGTTACCAAATATATTTATGAATGTCTCGTTTATTATAAGTGTTATTTTAATTGAGTTCAACTAAACCTGTTAGTTGCTTGCAGTTATGTTAGTCTGATTCTATTTGATCCATTTAGCTGACGACAAAATTTTTTCCGTGAGTGACAATCGAATTGAAGGAAACTTTTGTCGTGAGCTGAGCAGTGGTCTTATAAATAGCAATTGCCCTCAGAGTAGTATATAATCCATATTGAAGTGCTGGAACGAAGTAGTATGTAACTCATCCATAAAATATGCATTAATTTGTCATAATGCATATGATCGTCATGCGTGCATACAATATAAAATGGGTATGTTCAATAACAAATGAAATGTTTTATGTCGGTATAAAAATAAATAATTATCGCTCACCAGGATGTATACATTTCTCTGAGCCACGCATTTACTCACCAAATCAATATTTATTGAGTATGATGGTAAGATCTATGGATAAAGAACACTTCATAGAACTGCGTTCATTTACTGCATGGAACTGAATTTTTGAAGTGGATAATTAAAAGCAGACAGTAACTGAATGCAAAAATATTGAATGTACAAATATTTATATGTTATTGGGCAAACTTGAGGAGATGGTAGACTCGAAGATGGCAAACCGCATTTCATTAAGAAAATGGCCATATCTCTTCAAGATAGCAAAATCGCTCGACAAAATATATGTTTCTCTGAAAGTAGAGATTCTGTGCAATCGAATGGTGCAAAGAAATTCATATTTTACCGGGCAAAGCTGAGGGTACTGGTACCTTGAAGATTTTAACGCCTATATTGCTGTATTAATGTATAACATTGATCTATTGTGCATTGAATGAGTGCCTCTGCGCTAATTGAGATGGCTTTAGAAAAATAGCTATATCTCGTCAAGAAAGCAAAATCACTCGGAAAGACTAATTGAGATGGCTTTAGAAAAATAGCCATATCTCGTCAAGAAAGCATTTGAGATGGCTTTAGAAAAATAGCTATATCTCCTCAAGAATGCAAAATTGCTCAGCAGATGGCTTTAGAAAAATAGCTATATCTCGTCAAGAAAGCAAAATCGCACGTATTGCTGTATTACTGTACAACATTGATTTATACTGATACAATGTGCACTGAATGAGTGCCATGTATAACATTGATCTATTGTGCATTGAATGAGTGCCTCTGCGCTAATTGAGATGGCTTTAGAAAAATAGCTATATCTCGTCAAGAAAGCAAAATCACTCGGAAAGGTATATTAGAAAAATAGCTATATCTCGTCAAGAAAGCAAAATCACTCAGAAAGATATATGTTTTTCTGTATTCAGAGAAAGATATATGTTTTTCTGCTTTAGAAAAATAACTATATCTCGTCAAGAAAGCAAAATCACTGGGAAAGATATATGTTTTTCTGAATTTAGAGATTCCGTTGGATCGACTGGTGTACATCTTGAAGCCTACCATCTCCTCACGTTTGCCCAATAACACATAAATATTTGTACACCAGTCGATCCAGGGAAATCTCAGAGATTCCCCTGGATCGACTGGTGTACAAATATTTATGTGTTGTTTATGTGTACAAAGGCCTTATAGGCACTCTTGCACTTTAGGGGCGCCACACGCGCGCTTAGGTAATTGCGCATTACTTCGCGCGTACACACACAAAATACAGCTAATGACCCATGATCTCCCTCATAAGGCCTTATAGGCACTCTTGCACTTTAGGGGCGCCACACGCGCGCTTAGGTAATTGCGCATTACTTCATGCGCACACACAAAA